ATCGTTGGTATGTTACTTGTTAAAAATTCAAAATATTGTAGAGGACTCTTACTTTATTGATTAATCAAGAATATACAAGACCCTGTATAAATATATGGTTAATAACAGTTCTAAATGGATGCCAACAGTTATTGATAATTACTAACTAATCTTGAGATACCTATTGACACCTAACCTTATCAAGATATATATATATACCCATATACATACATATCCATACTGATATGTATCAGTTATGATGTATATCAATACTAACAAGACATCTATGCGCTAACACTCCCCCTCAAACTCAATACGCTTTTTGACAAAGCAACTGGAGTTTAAACAATAAAGTTGCATAAAAGAACTAGTTGGATCTTTAAGTCTTCACGTGCATAGATTGCTTGACCAACAAGCACAAAATGACACTGAAAAGAGCCAAAAAAATTCGGTGTGGATTCTAGACAGATTCAACAACTCACAGTTCTGACCAGAATAGAGACAAAGGTTGTTTTGCAGAGAGGCATAACACAACTTGACAGAGAGTCAAACTTGACTCGGTAGATAGTCGAAACTGACTCAGTAGATAGTCGAAAGACGACTTGGAGGCCTTTGGCAGTGCTTCCGAGGTCTATAAGTTTCTCTTACTAAACTGAAAGTGTTGATTGATTCAACCATAGACGACGATGAGACTGAAGTTTTTATTAAATTGATAGTGTTGATTGATTCAACCGTGGATAAAGAGGAGAGCAGAAGTTTTTGTGCAAAGGGCGAGTCTCATGGTGATGAAGAGGTGTCTCTAGATTTTATACCCTCTTAAGAGCAGTAATGGCAGCTTGCTCGGCTAGGGGAAGGTAGACCATGAAACCCAGTCTAGGGTAGAACCACCGACTAATGTGGGCATCAATTTCAAGAGATGCAAAATCACAAAATCGATCCATTGCTCTATGCGTTCATATTCAAATAGTGAAGTGCCATAGAGAATGTCATTTCCCTTCAAATGAGCAACAAAACGTGCTATAGCATTGCTCTCGAATATGGGACCTTCAGGTGTTTTCAACATGGGAGCCTTGCCCATTGGGTTCATCTTAAGAAATTTAAGAGTCTTATTAGAAACCCCCACCTCAAAAGACTCGATGGGGTTGACTTCCACACCAGCATACTCCGCTGCAATCAACGCCTTAAAAACATTTTTATTGTTGTTCCCCGCATGCAACATCTGGGCTATGACTCAAAAATGGTGACAAAACCATGAACTGATTTACTGAAGATTAAGAGGTTGAGGGGTCAATTGAACTAGAGAGAATAAACCCTAGATTAAAGAAAGAGAGATAAAGAGAGAAACTCGGATATCGTGAAAATACGCTGGGCACGAATTCGAACCAACCACAGAGGCAGAGGGTAATGAAATTTCCTGACCTCAGATCTGAGGTTCGAACCTCAGATCTGAGCTCGATCTGAGGTTGAAGAGTCGAAACCCGATATGAGGTTGAAGAATCTATAACTCTGAAACCATGTTAGAAACTCATAGTACTACAGAGAATTCTCACTTTATTGATTAATAAAAAATATACAATGCCCTGTATAAATATATGGCTAATAACTGTTCTGGATAGATGCCAACAATTATTGATAATTACTAAGTAATCTTGAGATACCTATTGACACATAACCTTATCAAAAGACATATATACCCATATACATTTATATCCATACTGATATGTATCCATAATGATGTATATCAATATTAACAAGATATCCATATGCCAATATTACTTATACCTCATTTTTCAAAATTACCCACTTCCCCATTTCATATTAACTTTTGATTTCTTAAATATTCACCCCACCCACCTTCCTAAAGCTCCATATTTTGGTCAAAATTTCTTTCAAATCATTCCATTTTCCAATTAGCCAAGATAGTTCCGAATTATATTCTTCGCCCATTTTAACAAAAATGAATCAAAACCAAATTCCCCTCCACTCTAGAAGTTTTCTTCCTATGCGTTTTTTTTTTTTCTAATAAATTTAAAAAATATCCCCATTTCTCCAACAAAATTTGAATAATAATAATAATTTAAACTTCTCAAAATAAATTTCCAAAACTCAAAAAATTGCTCCATGGCCGGACCAAAATAAATTATGTCTTCTAAAATAAAATTTAATCTTTAAATGTTATCAATCACTTACTCATGATCCCCATTTCATTTTTGAAATCTCAAGATATCACACAAAGTTACTAAATTGCCTATTGGGCACCATAATACAAGCTTAAGTACTAACTATTTTGTTGTAAAAAAATCCCATCCTTTTTCAAAATGGGTGCGGTTTGTACAGAGTCGAAGCTCTAAACAATCAAATTAGAGCCCACCTACAAATATTGTTGACAAATATAGTTTCAATATTGGAAATTTTTGTAATAGCCTTAAAATATATTTTCATCTCTAATTATAAAATTTAAAGCTTAAAAAATAGAGTAAATCAAGCAGATCTATGAAAACTTGAAAATTTTGAAAATTGACGGTAAAAATATGTCTTACAAGATGTACTATTTCTGAAATCTATTGTTTTCTCATGTCCATGAATCTTTATGTCGTGATCATCAATTGGATTATATTTGGGGATCAAAACAATCTCTTCTAGTGAAATTTGAGGTAGGCTCTAATTTGATTGTTTAGAGCGTAAGCTCTATATAAACTTTTCCCTTTCAAAATTTATTCATTTATCTTCATTAATTTTAAAATTTTCTTAATTTCTCATTTTTAATTCTTGGTTATTAGTTGCACTTTCTTGATTTTCCATTCTTAACTTTGGATAATCCTTAATTTACCATTTCTTAATTTCTTGTTTCTTAACTTTTATTTTCTTAATTTTAATTTTAAAATTCAAAATGTAGATGTGACTCTAGTTTCGATGGTTTCAAAATTTATGTGTTTTTTGTTTTAAAAGATTTTACTTGTTTTGGTTTAAATCATAACACGACACTAGTATCTATTTCTAAAATTTTCTCACTATTTTTATAACTTTTCTAAAAAATATTTTTCAAAATGAAGGAGTACGAATAAAACCTTGAAATGATGATTATTTGAAGAAAGAATTCCAAGGGCTTCAATAAACCAAAACTATTATAACCCAAAATCCTTGGAAATGTCCTAGGAAATCCTTCTCCATATTAGGGAAGGCCAAGGGGTAAAAGAATTCAGGGAGAAAGTCAAAATCATTTATGTCATTTTCATTCACCTTCATAACTCAAAACTAATGGCATGATGGAACCCATGCAACAATCCCGACATAGACTATGTAAAGATATCCTAGAGAACACTCGTACAGACCAAATGAGCCAACCATCCTCTGACAGTGGTTATCAACTCTTGAGTTATCTATCAATCTCAAGTGTCTACTTCTTTGCGACCCATAAGTTCTTAGAAGAATAGGGTACACCAAAGAAAGGCAATTGTAGTCACCCAGTATGAGATTGACTTTATTCCTAAATCCCTGAATCTTGAAGCATAGGAAATGAACCTCAAAACCATAAGAAACAATGCTCAGTTCAACCCATTTAACCTATAAAGACCACACTAGTTCAATAGACCCAACTCCGCACTAATCCATAATCATCCCCAGCATAATCCAAGCTAGAATATTCCTTGAATATCTCATGAATCATGAATATCCTTAGCTTAAGAAACCAAATCATCCAAAATATGCAAGTTTTATAATGGATTGGAGAGAAAATATTATTTAATTTGTGCAATCTCAGATTTTTTTTATAAAAAAATGGGAAGGAAATATCATCATAATCAAAATTTGAGAAAATCTGCATCGGTCGAATCTACATAGCTATCAGTGATGTAGGTCCCATCACTGGAATGGGAGCTCTCAATGTTGCATAATGTGTTACTATCACGTGTCATCCTAGGATTGTATGTAGACAACAGCCTTCATGTTTTATGGTGAATTCTTCCTATAAATAGACTTCATTCCAACCTTTTCAGGGGTCAGGCATCTGAGTTAGAGATTTTAGGTTAGACATCAGAAAGTAGGCGGTTTTTAAAGTCTCAAATCCAGATTAAACTTTTGAAACCTTAGCAGCCTTGGAAACCTTAACCCTAGTTTAGGAAAACCCTTACTTGCCATGCAACCCATGATCATTCATGACTATTAAGCCATAAAATTTCAACCCATTTCATTTTCATGGATTAAACCTTAGTTTCATAGAGGATGTTCACTCCAGATCGAATCTAGAAGTTTGAGGAAGAATTTCTTTGAAGGATAGGAGATTCCTACATTCTCATAGTGATTTGATCAAGGCTCTTAGTCTGGTTGGGAGGCCGGCAGGCCCAGCGGTTGGTCAGAAATTCTATTTTATTTATTTTTATTTTATTTATTTTTATTTTTTATTTTTTATTTTTTTACTTTTTTGCATTTTATTTTGTTTAGCTCCATAATTTCTTTATTTTCTTTCGATTTCGATGCGATTTATAAGGAGTGCTGCCAACAACCCTTAGAAGGTTAGATCTCTCTATGAGGTTGAATCATCTTTGGACTGGAATTCGACATGACCCTATATCTTACTTAATTAAACTAAGTTTACAGTGAATCAAAGTCAAATTAGTCTTGAATTCGGCTGTAAAAAATAATACTTAGGAAGTACTGATGGGGCTTGCTGATTTGGAGACCAGGACAATTGGCCATGGTCCGTTGTGGGCAAAGGTCTGACACTCCTATTGGGACTGATGGGTTCGTGCGGCATGGTGCCTCCCAGACCAGTGGCTCAATGCCCCAGTCATACTTAGTGTTTGAGTTGGACCTTACCCTAGTGTCTTAATGGGAAATAACAATTTATCTAACCTAATTCGACTAGGCATATACCACACGAAGAGGTTTGAAAAATTTACCCTAATGTATAGGTAAAGGTTCACAGTTGGGTTCCTAGCTAAGAAAAGTTGAAATGCCGCCTCAATTTCAGTACACTCACGTAAGTCCCGGGCCAATAGGATTGTGATGGCCTCCTACCATGTATGAGACAGTCTTAGAAATAGGAATAGTGGAGAGGTACTCACATTAAAGTGTACATTCCCAACCATTCCAACCCTGGGGCCAGGTAGCCCCCATGACTTTAATGCCGATTTGGGAGTTTTTAAACAATTTACATGGTTCTTTGGTATTGTGGTTAGGAGAGTGGAAAGAAGCACTTTGTGAATGTGGGTGAGATTTTAGCAAAGCACAAGCAAACGAATATTATATCTGAATAAAATATAGCTCACAAGATAAGCAAATATTATAAGAGACAGGGAAATGACCTTGTGAGACTTTCTCCCACTCATGTGTGTAAGATCTCAAAAGATCACTATTAAATTTGGCACAGATATCTAGAATAGTCAAGTCTCACACTCTTATGATAACTTTTTTAGATATTTATACCAAATTTAATGGTAATCTTTTGGGGTCATATACACATGGGTGTGGGAGGGTCTCATAGGATCATTACTCTATAAGAAATATAGCAGCCAATTAGAAAGAGAGCTGCTATGACAAAAAATGAAAAGCAAAAAATATGGTTTCTATTATTTTATTTTTTGTTGTTATTGCACTAAAACAATAAAATGGTGACTAAAATACCCCAAAAAACCAACACGTGGGCTAGAATCAAAAGCACCTGGGGGTAAGTGGCTGGAAGGGAACAATGAGGCACAAAAATAGTTCAACACGATGTTGTGCGCCAATTGTAACATACTTTCATGGACGCACAGTGCACCACTAGAGTGTTCAGCCTCATAGACTGTTGGGTTTATGTGGCCTTTAAAGGCCTTCTGAGTGTGTAATGAAAAACATTTATTATAGTGGAACATAAACTCAGTGGGAATGTGGTCCCTCGAAGACCATACTAAGCAAATGATATTTGCAGATACCGGACTGTGATTGATGATCTAGGCCAGTCGGTTGGAAAACCACAGGTACCTGGGCATAAAAAATAAACCGAGAAGGGTTTTTGGGTTAACCCTTGATGAGGTCGGAGCTTATGCCTAGACGAGTGAGCTGAGAGACTGTGTGACCCTTGTGTGTGATGGTAGGCTTACAGAGACAGGGGGCAAGACTTCATCCTTGTTCCATCACTCGGCATGCATATAGATAGATCGTTCGGGAAAACTAGATATCCACATTTGGGTGAAGCATATGCATGTGCGAGAGATACCTTTATGCGCCATAGAGCTGTGGTCGCATCAGGTCGTAGTGACCTTGACTTGTCTCTAAGGGAGGACCTGTAATCCACATACTGGGATTGCGACTCCTTGGCTCATCGACCAGACTTTGGTGACCCGCTAATGAACCGCTGCTTGGACTGTGGGGCCTGGGAAAAACTGGGTCGGTTCGATAAAACAAGTGTGATCTTGTAGTCCACAGTTGAAGGTGGAGTACCCCGTGATCGTTGGTTGAATTCCTGAACCATATGGATCCACTTCCCATCATATTAATTTAATTGTGTTCATTTTATTATTAAATTATTTTAAATTTATTATTTGAATTTTTATAAGTCATTTGATATTTTATTTCTTATTTTGGACTTATAAAAATGAAGTTATTAATTTACAAAGTTATAATGTTTTAATTTTATATTCTCAAGCATAATATTATGTTGTATGAATGACATCAAGTAGTTGAGATTTATTTTTATTGATGTGTTATTTATTTTTGGAATTTCTGTTGTTTGTAATAAGACCACTTGTGAGTGATCTTGTTGCCAAAATTATAAGGGGTGATTATTATTAATATATATATATATAGATATTTCTCTAGCAAAAGATTACATAGGTATTTCTTTCATGGACAGCTCCATGTCCCCTATGCACTATCTCCCCAACCCTGTTTCCTGGAAGCAGTTTTGCATGTATAGTTTAGTTGGTTCTTATATAGATCTATGTTGGATGGGCCTCACTGTGGGTGCCAAACTTTTCCATGTGAAATATGGGATGAAACATACTAATCAGAGTCAATCCCATCCCAATTCTTATCAAAACTTAGTTATTCAACGATTAGTAGAGAATAATATTCTGTCGACTTATGATTTATGAGAAATAAGTCTTGAAAGTCACAAATCACAAGCAAGGCTGGCTTAGATCTACCTAAAAGCTAAAAGAGCAACCTTTAAAAATTAGAGAAAATGGGAGGAAGGATTTTATAGATATTTTTAGAGGAGAATATAAAATGGTAAAGAAAAAAATAAAAAAGAAATTTGCCTTGAAATTTGCTTGTATGGTTCAAGGTTCAGGGACATAAAAATAACACTAATTACAGTGGGGGGTTCTACACACATATAGGCAATCTAAACTTTAAACAAAGGAGACCACCCACATCCTTAGTCCATGAGGTACCTCTTTCAAATACTTCTGGAAAGAAATTTGTGATGTTTAAGAGGTATTTTGATCATTTTAGTTTTTTAAAAAATATTTTTTAATATTTTTTTTAGTTTCTCCCCATTGTGATGATGACACGTACCAAATTTCGTTTGAGACAAATAAGCTCAACCTTCTATTTAAATTGAATGGGTTGATAGGCGGCGTAGGCGTAGTGCATACATAAACGTATATATGGTGGGAAGTACATAAAGTTTTCCCTAAAATAATAGTGTCCAAAGATTAAAGGAGTCCATCCAACGATTGAACAATCAGACCCGAATGTCTAGAAACTGATAGTTATTTTCTATGTTTGTTCCTTGAAAATATTCATTTATTCATTCTATTATTAGGATCTTAATGACTTAAAAAACTTCCCAGGTTGAGTGCGAAAAAGAATTATGGTGAGAAGTATGTGCAACCAAAACTAGAACTAGCTCCGACATATAGAAAAAAGTATACATAGAAATGCAACATGCGCCCTTAAAAAGTAGGACATGGATTTAAAATATACAACATTAAAAACTTCTTAAATTTTTAAAATATAAGATATATTTACATAAATTTACCACGGGGAAATGACCTCTTTATCCTTTTTTTTCCCTCTCTCTATCATGTACCTTGTTGAAACCAGTATGCAAAACGCTTTCATCCACCCCCATCATCTGATCAATACTCATGGTTCCTTTCTTCTCAAAGCAACCAATTCTTTTATCTTATGAAGCCCGTTTAGACCTCACCAATCCATGGGATTCCTTTGCCCAAAACTCTATAGAATCCAAAACATTTAAGATAAAGAAGAAAATGGACTCGAGAAAATAAAGAAAAAGAAAAAAAGATGATTTTGAACTACCATTATCTTTTTGAATGTTGAGAGTTCTACCCTGTTTTCAAACTTCCAAGCTTCTTTAAGGGGAAAAGTGGTGTTTCAAAAACACCTGCTTCACTTGGTGCCTGACTATTAAAAATATGAGAAAGAGAAAATTCTATGATGTACTAGGAGAAGGAAAAAATAAGGGAGCTGTCACAAATTTAGGGTATCATGTTTACTTTAATTTTAAGGAATGAATGCTGGTCCTTATCTAGAGACATGAAGCCTTCAAGGATGTGCCTTTGGGGGTCTATAGGAGAGGTTTTATTTGTAATTTCTTTCTAAATGGTAAATAATGTAGAATCTCAAGAGTAAAATATGGACAAATTGGATTTTTGCTTTTTTCTCCCTTTTAACAGTTTTCTTGGATCTCTGATATTCCAGGAACTTTGCATTTTTAAAGACACTATTCTTTTAGGGTTTTGAGGTTCACAACAAAATTTTGCTTTACCCATTAAAGCTTGTCATCACTAACATCAATGGCAAAGCTTTAGTCATCTGATGCTTGTCAGAGAACACACACCAAGTTAATTATCTGATGCTGATGCTTACAAGGGGTGAGACATCTGATGCTTGTTAGAGAGAACACACACCAAGTTAATTATCGGATGCTGATGCTGATGCTTACGAGGAGAGAGAGCAAGCACAAGGTTGAGCCAATTATCTCATGATGATCTTTACAACGAGAGAAGGTTGCGCCATGGATCTGCTCATGCTTACAATAAGAGAGAGCAAGCACAACGAGGCCATACGTCAAAAAAAAATCAAACTTAAAATCATACACGAGGTTTATATCATAGTTACTGGGAGCGGGAGAGGGAACGGCTTCGGTTTTGGGAGCGGGAATGGCAGAGCGGCGTCAGCCCAAAACTCCGGAGCCCTGGGAGTGAGTTCCGGTGAGGGTAAAAGTAGTGGATCGAGATCCCACATGAACAGGTAGCACGTTCCCAATACATCGGGATCGAGATCCCTATTTAACAGGACACTTTCCATGTCAAATGGGATCGTGTTCCCATATTCATTAGGATCGTGCTCCCATTGATAACATGATGGCGCCCCCATCTAAGAATGGCCGAGTTCCGATTTGGAAAAGATCGAGCTCCATTCAAGGAAGGATAGCGTTCTGTGTATGATTAGTCCACGCTCCTATCGTAAACTCCACTTTTATGAAAATTTGGCTTAAAATATAATTATTTTATTTTAAAAAATTAATTTTATTTAAAAAGTTTCTTTTAGGATATTTCGGGAAATTAGGGATAGAGTTATGGAAATATAGAGATCACGCTCGTAAAATTCTGAGAGCGGGGATCTAATTTATTTAAGAACGAGATCCTAAAATTGAAGGAACGCGTTTCGCGTAGTATCAAGAGCGAGCTCTGTTGTGAACAGGATCGAGAATCCTAAAAATAGAAGCGAGCTCCCAAAAAGTAAAGAACGAGTTCCGATCGAGATCCCGGCTACAGAGCACCGGAGCGGGAGCGCCACCTTAGTTGAGCACTCCATGTAACTATGGTTTATACCGCTAATCTAGTTTAAGATCTTGTAATCATTGGAATGGACGGTCTAAAACACCAATATATCCTATCATAGTTTATCTAAAATACAGAAGATCATTCCCCATTAACCAAATATATGCCAGAACCTCTTTATTTATTTATTTTTTACTTTTTTGAAGATATAGTTTTAGCCTTTTAGGGGATCTGGATCACAGATCCATGAAAAGGATCAGAGGTGGGTAATCCACGTCACATAAACATTTTTTCAAACGGTATTTTCTACTTTCACAGTCCATGGACATTTCCGGCCCTCTTTTTGAGCGGGACATTTGATTTTGCCATTCGATAACACCTATCCCTCCAACTTCTCTATATCTACTCCTGGTTCAGAAGGCAGAAAAAAAAACAGGATCAATTATTGTATCTTCTCTCACCTGTTATGCACAAACACCAACCATAGTTCGGGCTCCATGGATGTAAATGATGGTGTAAAGGGTGCGGCTTCTTCTCTCAATTCGTTAATGGCAGTTTTCAGCAACCGTGTTGCCGAGTTGCAGGAATTAGCGATCGGCCGCAATGGTATGATTGCTTCTCCCTTCCCACCTCTCTCTCTCTCTCTCTCTCTCTCTTTGCTTTTATCCATTTACATAAATCCTAATTTGATAAGAAAAATTTCAGTAACTGAAATCTATTGATTCATAGCTTTTCTGAAGATTTCACGTTCTTTTACTGCGGGCATTGGGAAACGAAATGATTTTGAATTTGCATTTGGTTCGTTACATTTCAGAAACCCTACTTTGTTTGATATAGTGTTGGATTTCAGCTAAACCAGAACAGTGTCATTTTTCTGACAATTAGACAGAAAATTCCTGCTGATTTCCCATAGTTTCAATGCCCTGCAGAAAATATGAGTCAGTTTAATAATTGTAGGAAGTGAAAGCGTATTGGATTTGCAGTGATTTTTTAAATGCAGAAACCATAAGTTGATGTGAAATTGACTTGAAGCCTTTTCCTGATCCTGTACATCATACATACCTACTTTATCTAAGAAATATACGAATGGCGTGTTCAGACTCGGCCGAGTTCACAGAGTGACCGAGGCAAGTTTGATGCGGGTCATGTCTACACATTCTTTGAAACAGGGAGATGTACTGCTTGGTGTCTCTCACTCTCTCTAAAACGGGGGCACCGCCTTCCTTTCATCACTTTCCCCCGTAGCCAGCTTCTCTCTCCCTCTTTCTCAGACAGGCTCTCTCTCTCTCAGAGGCGTGGATTTCCGCCCCCTCTCTTCCATTCTCTCTTCATTTCTGCCCCCTCCGTCTGTTGGGTGCATTTCAACCAGAGAGAGAAAAAGAAAGACAGAGACGTGTGGCCAGGGTTTTCTTTCCCCTTGTCACATGCCCTTTGCCTTTTTTTTTTTTTATCAATTTTTGTGCACTTTATTAAATGTGCTGTACTCAGTCTGGGTTGATCCCAGGCCTGAGGTGAGTCTTAAAACACTGATAAGAATTAAGAAGCAAAACAATGCTAATTTTCTATTGGTTTAGTGACGACCCTAGTTTTGCATGAATTTCATTTTTGGGGAAAGAATGATTTTAAATTCACATTGTTTCAGTGCATATCGAGAGTTGTGTCTCAGATCTGTCAGCTATTGATGCTGTGATGAAGGGATTGGAGTGTCAAATGAAGGCAATCAAGGACCGATTGAAGGAGGAAGCTGAGGCTATACCAAAGGCTAAGGTATTCATCTTGAATCATTGTGAGATTCATTTTCTTTTTTTCATAGGTGTTTGATCTTTCTACAGTTTCATTTAGTCCTCCGCCTCCCCCATTTCACTTGATGATGTTATTCAATAGTATGAAATTTCAGAAAATTTCTGCAATGAAACTTGTGTAAGGCCTTGAAACCCACAATTTGGCAAACGTGTGATTAATTCAAAGCTTGGGTTTGAATATTCTATTCAGTTTCTGTATGATTGTAGCTGAAAATATTTTGCTAATTTTGGACTTCTTTTTGTTTGTATTTTACTGAATTCTCGTACATTTGAAGGAAAATGAAGATGTGTTGGAAAAAAATTGGGAAATTTCAACAAGTTCCGTGAACTTTGGCTTAGACAAATTATGTCCGCATTTTTTTTCTCTAAATATCATCTGTATCCAGGGCTGAATTTGGCCCATTAAATCTAACATTTTGTTTGCTATTTGAATGAGGATTCGGGCTTGGGTTTGATGTTGACTGTTGCAAAATCATTTTCCAAGTTTGATTCCTACTAGCATGCTAACAAGCTGCCTGGTATGAAATCTTGGGTTTACCCAAATGCAAAACCATTCATATAATATTTGGAGACTTGTTTATCAGTTGGAGGCTAATTTTAGCTGTTCTCATGATGTGAAATTAGGCAGTGATATAGCTTAGGTCCCTAGCAGGCCTCATCAATAGTTAGTGGCCAAAAAAAAAACACCAAAAGTAGAAAAAAAATCAATTGTACAATGAAAAGTCAATGAAGAAGAAAGGGATGATAAAAATCTCTGAATATAAAATAATATTGTCTAGACTGCTTTGATCATTCTTACATTGATGGCTATTTACCTATTTGGCCCATGGATACTTACTCTTCACTTTCCAACAATCTTATATTTTTAAGGTGTCATTTTATTAGTAAGATTTGCCATTTTATTAGTAAGATTTGCATTTTTTTTTTTAGGTTTTTTTCTATGAATCCTGGGTTATGATCTGACTCAAAACATAGTTAAAATTTAGGGATTCTTTGATTATTTTTTGAAATGGGATGAAATATTTGGTGTTTTTGCTGAACATTTCATTTTGTTACTATGATGGTCAGAAAAAGAATGAAGCAATAGCTTCTATTAATGATAAAAAAAGAGCAGAAAAAATGGTGGGATAGGAATCGTGAGGGGATATTTTTAATAGCCTAATATTGAACAAGAAAATGAGCTTGAAGAGCAGTTTAATGTGGCTGGGCAGGGCCATATAGTAGTTTTGAGGAGATGGAAAGGAGCCATGCTCATGGGAAGAGGGTGTTATTCGGCCATCTTTGTCCTAGAGAATTATTTGGAATAGCCAACCACTATTGGGCTAGCTTATTTGATCAAGAGATGGTCAGGAATTTGATCATCCAAGTGATCAGCCCAAGGGCATTTTGGAAGGGCCTTGTGTAGGGTTGAGAATTTACCCGATTTGGATCCGGGTATGAACAAGATTTGGATCTGAAATTTGGATCCACATCCAAAATTTAGATCATGATGGGATAAAAAAGTTTCATGTCTCAAATGGATCTGAGCCGGATCTGAGCCAATTTTAAGGATGGTATATATAATATTATATATTTATTTATTTATATATAATATATAATAGGTTATGCTAGGGTGTTTACACTATAAAGCATTTTATAGTGGTACTCCACAAATTTTGAACGCTTATATACCCTTACCTTGTAATATAATCTTATTTTAGTAAAAAATATCTTTCGTCATTACGAGGGGTGTGACATCATCCACACTGGGTGTGACATCATCCACATGTTAATGCTCCATGTGGGTGATGTCACACCCCATGTGGTGATGTTACACCCCTCATAATGATACAAAATACACTTACTAAAAAAATGCTTCATGTACAAAACAAGGGTATATAAGTGTCCATAATTTGTTGAGTACTATTGTAAAATGCTCTATAGTGCGAGCACCCTAACATAACCCATGTATAATTTTTTAAACTTTTAGAAGGCCTAGGATCCCATGTATAGCTTTCGGATTTGGATCGGATCCGGATCCCATGTATAGTTTTCGGATATAGATCCAGATATGGATCCAAACATTTTGGATCTGATCCGATCCGGATCTAGTCCCATATATACTTTTCAGATTTGTATCCGGATCTGGGTGGATTCGGGGCTGATCCGAAAAATTCTCAGTCCTACCTTTGTGATGTGGTTAATGACAATGCCATTGCTTTCATTTGCCTTGATGGCAATTACTTTTTGCTCATAATGTCTTTCGGGGAAAACACTTGTGAATTTGGTGGGCTACGCTGTGTGACAATGTAATCACAGTACAACCATATTTAACAGACTAATTGGCATTAGGGTCATGGTAGATTAGTGGAAAAGATATTTCTTGGAGAATTTTGATTATCTCTTTGATTTATCATTTTCATGTAGTTATATTGCACCATATGTGAAGAGCTCCAATTTCATATTAAATTGCTTGACAATTTGATAGAGAGCTATGTAACTTGGAGGCATGTGTCCCTCTTCCGTGAGCAGCAATGATAAATCTTGGCAAGTATTGAGTTTTAAAATTTCCAGCTCTATTATCGAATATCAATAACTTTACCTTACAAAGGGCCACTATTCACTAATTTTAAGCAAGATATTACAATGCCTTTTATTAAGTTTGAGGAAGGAGAAAGAAAAAGCCCATTCAAGCACAACAATTATATAAAAATTTATACATCATCTCATTGTTTAAATCATGGGGCATGTATCCACATGAGTGTTGCAATACAAGTCAGCATGCACATGAGTTTCAGCCTATTAAAAAGCCCAAATATAGCAGGATACTGTACAAAGGACCTTAGTCAAGTTTGTTCTGTGTTACCTTGCACTTCAAATTTAGCCTGGTGTCGCCTGATGACACATGTGGACCCTTGACGATACAGCCCCGACACGTGTTCATATGTGTCATTTGACACCATCAATTATGAGTATGGTGTCGACACTTTAAATAGAATTGTCTTCCTTTTCATGTCATGAAATGTGGAAAGCTCTTCTCGGTAGAGTTGCTTTCTATCCTTTAACATGGCTATGCTTAATGGCTAGCAGTCTTTTTCCTTTTCATTTTTTTGCCACAAAGTTTTAATAAGACAAAAGCATAATAATGCTAGGTGCCTTTTTTGCCACAAAGTTTTAATAAGACAAAGCATAATAATACTATGTCCCTGTGCTTGTTGCAAGAATGGAGCCTCATCCAGTGCTCCTCCCTACATCACTTCTACCATCAAGCCATCACTAGTTGCAAAAAATGAACCAAAAAAAATATATATTTGCAGTACTTTGCTAGTTGCTAAAAGTTAAAACATGCTCACATCAGGATTCAAAGTCTGTGCAGACCCAGTAGCTTGGAGCTAGGGTCTAGCAAAGAAGAAGGTAGGGAAGATCTAAAATTAGAGAAAGTTTAAAACACTAGAGATAAAAGAAGGAAATCCTTGAGTACATCTCTTATATAAAAAAATTCTGGCCATCCAACTAATTTAATCATGGCCATTTATTGTAAAAGACTTTAAGTAAGTTAAAACGATAGGTTCAATGACTATTTTTCCCTTATGAGGTTCTGATAGGTTCAATGACTAGTTTTCCTTTATGAGGTTCTTCTTGTAAACTTTAAGCTCGTCTCTCTAATTGAGAGCAGCATTCTAGCTGCATTAGTCCCCCTTCCTTAAAAGAATTTGCCCTCGAATTCGGTGGCTCATCGTCAAAGGTATCACTACAATATGGAGGTGCTTGACATTAAAAACATTAAAAGTGTGAATATGGCTAGGAGGCTTCAATGTGTAGGCATTCTCATTAATCTTCTGCACCACTTCACAACGGTCCAATCTTGTCCTGGCTCAATTTATGATATTTCTTGTTGGAAATCTATTATTCTGGCCACACAAAATCTCCAACATCAAAAATCCTATGCTGGTGATGCTTGTCAGTGGCTGCCATGTATTTGACATCATACTCTATGATTTTGTGAATGCACAGTTCCAATGAATTGTCTTCAATATAAAACACAATCACCTGTTTTAGACCAAATAAAACATCAAACACACCACACCTCTCGATAAAACATTCCACACTGCCTGATCATGGAATCCATTCATGTCAATTTTGGCAAATACTACATGAGAAATTAATAAGGGAAAGTAAGTTTCCTAATAAGAAGCTTGATTCTGCCATGGTACACAATTTATTGCTTCGCTTCTATCAATAACATGCTTATTTATCTATATAAGGGAAGCCCATACTGGTGCAACATAACATTCAAGAGATAGCCCATCCTGTTCATAGATTTCCAATGGTTCTAATCCCTGATGTACAAGGCCATGGATGACAGGAATGCTATAAGCATACTGATTTGCATGCTAACAATATGAGCAATACTTAACTTCCATCAACAATAGTGCTAGATCTGCATGTCCATCATCAATGAGGAATATGCATTTTTCCTCAATTTTGATGAGACCCAATTCAAGAAAACAAGAGAGAAATGTGTTCCAAATTACTGCATCTCTCATAGAAACTTTATCCATCATGTTCATGTTTTGTCCACATGGAAAACTGTAACATTTGTAGCACATTTGTATAGTATTATTGTCCATGAATATACTTGATAACCCACTTACAAACTTTAAAATGGGTTAACATGAATGCATTGCAGCCACAATCTCTTTCCATTAGAACTTGGTGAGTTGTTGTTGGGGCTCCCCACTCAAAACAAAGCAATAGCTCAACGTAATCACCTCCATCTTCACCATCATAAATGCCGTCACCACCATTATCTTCCTAGCCAATAGTATGTTCTTCATCGAAAACAGTGCCTTCTTCTTTTCTTTCATCAAAGGTAGGTTCACCAACTTCTTTATCATAATTGATTCTTCTACCAAACTCGAATTCTCACCAGGGTACATATCAAACAAAGATATTCTCACTACGGTACATATCAAACAAAGATTG